AACACATATATAACTGTGCTCATTACTACAATTTACAACTGTGCCCCATTACAATTAATACTTATTATAACTATGCCTTATTCTATACAATATAATTAAAACTTGCCACATAAGTAATTAATTACAACTATGCCCTATTCCAACTACACATACAACGGTACCCTATTAAAACTACACCCCATCTAAATCAAAGCCCTTATTACAACTACACACCATTATAACTGTGTCCCATTTAAACTACACCCCATTAAAACTACACGCCATTACAACTTAGTTCCATTAGAACTACACCCCTATTACAACTGTTACTACATACACCATACCCCATTACAACTGTGCCCTATTACAACTACAATTCAATATAAAATTGTCCCATTACAACATTGTCCCATTACAACTGTACCCTATTACAACTACACCACCATTACACTGTGCCCTACTACAACTACACCCCATTACAACTGTGTCCTATTACAACTACACCCCATTACAACTGTACCCTAATACAACTACACCCCATTACAACTGTACAATATTACAACAAATCCTCATTACAACTAAAACCCACTACAACTGTGTCCTATTACAACTACTCTATTACAACTGCACAATTACAACAAATCCTCATTACAATTAAACCCACTACAACTGTGTCCTATTACAACTACACCCATTACAACTGTGTCCTACTACAATTACCCTCATTACAACTGTACCCTATTACAAGCATCCATATCATCTGTACACAATTACAACTACACCTCATTACAACTACACCCCATTACAACCGGCGCCCTACTACAACTACACCCCATTACAACTGTACACAATTACAACTGCACCTCAATAGAACTATGTCCCATTACAACTACACCCCATTACAACTGTACCCTATTACAACTACACTTCACAACTTTGTCCCATTACAAACCACACCATTACAACTTTCTCCCATTGCAACTATACCACCATTACAACCGTGTCCCATTACAACAAACCCATTATAACTGTGCCCCATTACAACTGTGCCGCATTACAACTGTGCCCTACTACAACTGTGCCCCATTAAAACTGTGCCCTATTACAACTGTGCCTTACTACAACTGTTACTCATTACTAACCAGTTCCCCATTACAACTGTGCCTACTACAACTGTGCCCCATTACAACTGGTGCTTCACGCCATTAACCAAAATCATTGTGTTGCAGTCTCTGTACCAAACATACAATCCCTCTAATTCACATAACCGTGTCCTACTACACAAATGTGTCCCTACTACCAGTCCTACTACAACTGTGCCCTCACAACTAGTTCTACTACAACTGTGCCCTAATACAACTGTGCCCTAGCCAACTGTGCCCGACTACAACTGTTGCCCCATTACAACTTGTTCACAACAGTTCTCAATAACTGTGCCCTCTACCACAATCCTAATGCAACTAGTAGCCCCACAACTGTGTTCTAATAACACTGTGCCCTACTACAAATCAAACAACTGTGCCCTACTATAACTGTGCCCTACTATAAATGTTCCTACTCACAACTGCCCTACTACAACTGGTGCCCTTCTCAACTGTGTTCTGCTACAGCCAGTGCTACTACAACTGTCTCTACTATAAATGTTCCTTACAACAACTGTGCCCTACTACAATCTGTGCACTACAACTGTGCCCTACTACAACTGTGCCCACTACAACTGTCTTTCACAATCAGGCCCTACTACAACTGTTTTCTATAACTGTGTCTACTACAATCTGAGTTCTACTACAACTGTGCCCTACTACAACTGTGTTCTACTACAACTGTGCCCCATTACAACTGTGCCCTACTACAATCAAATGTTCATTATAATCAGTTCCCTACTATAAATGTTACTACAACTGTGCCCTTACTACTGGAACTGTGCCCTACTACAATCAAAAGTCGTATTACAATCAAATTGCCCCATTACAACTGTGCTCCTCATTACAACTGTACCCCATTATAACTGTGCCCTTACTGCAACTGTTCTACCAACTGTGCCACAGCAATCACTTCAATAAGCTGTGCCCTGCCACAGCTGGTGTCTACTACAAATGTGCCCTACCAAAAGCCCTACTACAACTGTTCCTACTACAACTGTGCCCTGATACAACTGTGCCCTAGTACAACTGTGCCCTACACAACTGTGCCCTACTACAACTGTGCCCCATTAAAACTGTGCCATTCTACACCTGTGCTCTCACTACAACTGAGTCTGACTCGAACTGTTCTACTACAACTGTGCCCCATTACAACTGTGCTCACAACAACTGTGCCCTACTACAGCTGTGCCCTACTACAACTGTGCCTCTACTACACAGTGCCTACTACAACTGTGCTCTACTACAACTGTGCCCCATTACAAATGTGCCCAAACAACTGTGCCCTACTACAACTGTGCCCCATTACAACTGTGCTTACATCAACTGTGTCCCATTACAAATGTTCCTACTATATCTGTTCCTTACTACAACTGTGCCCATCGACAACTGTGCCTCTACTACATTTGTCCCATAACAACTGTGTGTCCTACTACAACTGTGCCCCATTACACTGTGCCCTACTACAACTGTGCCCCAATACAGCTGTGCCCTACTACAACTGTGCCCTACTACAACAGTGCCCTACTACAACTGTGCCCTACTACAACTGTGCCCTACTAACTGTGCCTTACTGCTGGTGCCTCTCACAACAGTGCCCCCACAACTGTGCCCATTACAACTGTGCCCTACTACAACTGTGCCACAGCTGTGCCTTTACAACAGTGCTCCAACAGTGCCCTACTGCAATTACTACAACTGTGCCTCACCAACTGTGCACAACAACTGTGCCCTATTACAACTATGTCCCACTACAATGTGCTATACAACTGTGTCTCACTACAACTGTGCCCTACTAACCTGTGCCCTACAACAACTGTGCATCTATTACAACTGTGCCCCACTATAACTGTGCCCTACTACAACTTTGAACTACTACAATCTGCCTACTACAACTGTGAACTCTACAACTGGTGCCCCATTACAACTGTGCCCCATTACAATGTGTTCTAACAACAACTGTGCCCTACTACAGCTGTGTTCTACTACAACTGTGCTCGTATTACATAACAGTGCTCTTGCACACCTGTGTCCTATTACAACAGTGTCTTCTACTACAACTGTGCCCTCTATTACAAATGTTCATACAATAACTGTGCTCCTACTACAGCTGTGCCCTTACTACAACTGCCCTTTACTACAACTGTGCCCCATTACAACTGTGCCTTTCAATACAGCCGTGCCATTACATACTGTGCTCTACAACTGTGCCTTATTACAACTGTGCTCCTACTAACTGTGCTCCATTACAACTGTACGTCTACTACAACTGTAGTCTTACTACAACTGGTGCCCCTACAACAACTGTGCCCTATTACAACTGTGTCCCTACTACAATGTGAACTACTACAACTGCGCCCTACTACAACTGTTCCCTTACTATAACTGTGTCTCTACTACAACTGTGCCCTATTACAACTGTGCCTACAACAACTGTGCCCTATTACAACTGTGCCCTACTATAACTGTGCCCTACTACAACTGTGAACTACTACAACTGTGCTCCTACTACAACTATGCCTTACTACAACTGTGCACCATTACAACTGTGTCCTATTACAACTGTGCCCCATTACAACTGTGCTCTACTACAACTGTGCTCTACTACAACTGTGCCCCATTACAACTCTGCCCCATTACAACTGTGCTCTGCTACAACTGTGCCCTACTACAACTGTGCCATATTACAACTGTCCTCCACTACAACTCTGTTCCTACTGCAACTGTGCCCCATTACTAACTGTGTCCTACAACAACTGTGCCCTACTACAACTGTGCCCTATTACAACTGTGCTCTACTACAACTGGTCTTACTACAACTGTGCCCTATAACAACCGTGCCCATTACAACTGTCTTCCTCAACTACAACTCTGCCCTACTGCAACTGTGCCCCCATTACAACTGTGTTCTACTACAACTGTGCCCTCATTACAACTGTGCCCATTAAAACTGTGCCCTGCTACAACTGTGCCTATTACAACAGTGCCCTACTACTAACTGTTCCCTACTACAACTGTGCCTCATATAACTGTGCCTCTACTACAACTGTGCCCTACTACAACTGTGCCCCTAAACAACTGTGCCCTATTACAACTGTGCCCTACTACAACAGTGCCCTACTACAACTGTGCCCTACTACAACTGTGCCCCATTACAACTGTGCCCTACTACAACTGTGCCCTACAACAACTGTGCCCATTACAACTGTGCCCTACTACAACTGTGCCCTATTACAACTGTGCCCTACTACAACCGTGCTCCTACTACAACTGTGCCCTACATAAACTGTGCCCTATTACAACTGTGCTACTATAACTGTGCCCTACTACAACTTTGAACTACTACAACTGTGCCCTACTACAACTGTGAACTACTACAACTGCGCCCTACTACAACTATTCCCTACTATAACTGTGCCTCTACTACAACTGTGCCCTATTACAACTGTGCCCTACAACAACTGTGCCCTATTACAACTGTGCCCTACTATAACTGTGCCCTACTACAACTGTGAACTACTACAACTGTGCCCTACTACAACTATGCCCTACTACAACTGTGCACCATTACAACTGTGTCCTACTACAACTGTGCCTCTACTACAACTGTGCTTCTACTACAACTGTGCCCCACATAACTCTGCCCCATTACAACTGTGCTCTGCTACAACTGTGTTCTACTACAACTCTGCCCTACTGCTACTGTGCCCCATTACAACTGTCCTCCACTACAACTCTGCCCTACTGCAACTGTGCCCCATTACAACTGTCCCCACTACAACTCTGCCCCACTGCAACTGGCCCCATTACAACTGTGCCCCATTACAACTGTGCCCTACTACAACTGGCCCCATTACAACTGTGCTCTACTACAACCAGTTCTACTACAACTGTGCCCTATAACAACCGTGCCCATTACAACTGTCCTCAACTACAACTCTACTCCTACTGCAACTGGCCCCATTACAACTGTGTTCTACGACAACTGTGCCCCATTACAACGTGTGCCCATTAAAACTGTGCCCTGCTACAACTGTGCTCCTATTACAACAGTGCCCTACTACAACTGTGCCTCTACTAACTGTGCCCCAATACAACTGTGTCTTACTACAACCGTGCCCTACTACAACTGTGCCCTTACAACAACTGTGCCCTATTACAACTGTGCCCTACTACAACTGTGCCCCATTACAACTGTGCCCTACTACAACCGTGCCCTACTACAACTGTGCCCTCTAAACAACTGTGCCCTATTACAACTGTGCCTACTATAACTGTGCCCTACTACAACTGTGAACTACTACAACTGTGCCCTACTGCAACTGTGAACTACAATTGGTGCCCTACTACAACCTTCCCTACTATAACTGTGCCCTACTACAACTGTGCCCTATTACAACTGTCTCCCTACAACAACTGTGCCCTATTACAACTGTGCCCTACTATAACTGTGCCCTACTACAACTGTGAACTACTACAACTGTGCCCTACTAACTATGCCCTACTACAACTGTGCACCATAACTGTGTCCCACTACAACTGTGTCCCATTACAACTGTGTCCTACTACAACTGTGCACCATTACAACTGTGCCCTACTACAACTGTGCCCCATTACAACTGTGCACTACTACAACAGTGCCCTACTACAACTGTGCCCCATTACAACTGTGCACTACTACAACAGTGCCCTATACAACTGTGCCCCATTACAACTGTGCCCTATTACAACAGTGCCCTAGTACAACTGTGCCCCATTTCCAACTGTGCACTACACAACAGTGCCCTACTACAACTGTGCCCCATTACAACTGTGCACTACTACAACAGTGCCCTACAACAGTTCTCCCATTACAACTGTGCACTACTACTACAACAGTGCCCTACTACAACTGTGCCTCATTACAACTGTGCACTACTACACAGTGATAAATTCAGACAGTGACTTTGAACACCAAAGAGATCTAGATACCTTACATGAGTGGTCAGTAGACTGGCAAATGAATTTTAATACTGATAAATGCAAGGTACTACAGATAGGGAAGACGAATACAAACGTTATGTATAAACTAGGTAAAACGGAAATAGAAAACTCAGTTTGTGAAAAAGATCTAGGTGTATTTGTTAGCAAACGACTTGAAACCTAGAAACAATGTATTAGCGTTCGCAACAAGGCAAACAGGATTCTGTTCATATCTAGGTCTGTGAGTAACAGAACTGCTGACGTTATCTTGAAATTTTACCTAGCATTAGTGAGGCACACATGGATTATGCGGTTCAGTTCTGGTGTCCTTATTATAGAATGGACATAGACTTTTGGAGAGAGTACAAAGAAGAATGACAAAAATGATCCATAATATTGAAACCTTCCATATGAAGAAAGACTGAAAAGCTTAGGCTTACATTCATTAGAGAGGCGTAGAGTTAGGGGAGATATGATAGAGGTACAAGGGTGAGGGATTAAGGTAAAATGGAAGATGTTCTGAAGCTCAGTAATAACGAAATAACTAGAACAAATGGCTTTAAATTAGATAAATTCCGATTCAGAAAGGATATAGGCAAGCACTGGTTTGGTAATAGAGTTGTGGATATGTGAATAGGCTACCGACTGCTATAGTAGGATCGGGGACGCTGGGGAGCTTCAAGACGAAGTTGGATAGGACATGGAAGTGCTGGGATGGGGTGAAAGGGATCTGCCCTGTATGGGCCAGTCGGCCTCCTGCAGTATCCCACTTTCTTATGTTCTTATGTTCTTATGTACTACAACTATGCCCCATTACAACTGTGCACTACTACAACTGTGCCCTACTACAACTGTGCCCCATTACAACTGTACTACCACAACTGTGCCCCATTACAACTGTGCACTACTACAACAGTGCCCTACTACAACTGTGCCCCATTACAACTGTACTACTACAACTGTGTCCACACAACTGTGCCCCATTACAACTGTGCCCTATTACAACAGTGCCCTACTACAACTGTGCCCTATTACAACAGTGCCCTACTACAACTGTGCCCCTACACAACTGTGCACTACAACAGTGCCCTCCACAACTGTGCCCTACTACAACTGTGCATTACTACAACTGTGCCCTACTACAACTGTGCCCCATTACAACTGTGTCATACTACAACTAAAACACATTCCAACTTTTTTACAACTACGGATTGTTTCACTATAAATCCCAATACACTCACAAAGGATTAATTAAAAAAACAAAACAATTACAGATTCCAAACATACCAGAACTACGACATTGATTTTAATAAACATATTTGTCTCTGTGTGAACCATCGGCCGAGGAATCAAATTTCTATATCATTTGATTCTCCACAAAATGACTTACAATAACTGAAAATGACAGAGTTATTTGATAGAGAGAGAGAGAGAGAGTCCAACCCAACACACCTCGATCCAATCAGACATGAACCAGCACGAAGCAACCGAGCACGACACAACCAACACGAAACAACGACACGACACACCAGCACGAAACAACCGAGCACGACACAACCCATCACGAAACAAGCATCACGACACAACCCAGCACGAAACAACCCAGCACGAAACAACCCAGCACGAAACAAGCCAACACAGAAACAAACCAGCACGAAACAACCAGCACGAAACAAGCCAACACGAAACAACCCAACACGAAACAAGCCATCACGAACAAACCAGCACAGAAACAACCCACCAGAAACAACCCAGCACGAAACAACCCAGCACGAAACAACCCTGCAGAAACAAGCCATCACGAAACAACCCAGCACGAAACAAGCCAACACGAAACAACCCAACACGAAACAAGCCAACACGAAACAACCCAACACGAAACAAGCCAACACGAAACAACCCAGCACGAAACAAGCCAACACGAAACAACCCAGCACGAAACAACCCAGCACGAAACAAGCCAACACGAAACAACCCAGCACGAAACAACCCAACACGAAACAACCCAACACGAAACAACCCAGCACGAAACAACCCAGCACGAAAAAACCCTGCAGAAACAAGCCATCACGAAACAACAACACGAAACAACCCAGCACGAAACAACCCTGCGAAACAACCCAGCACGAACAACCCAACACGAAACAACCCTGCACGAAACAAGCCATCACGAAACAAACCAGCACGAAACAACCCAACACGACACAACCCAACATGAAGCAACCCAACACGAAACAACCCAACACGAAACAACCCAACAGAAACAACAACACGAAACAACAGCAAAACAACCCAGCACGAAACAACCCAACACGAAACAACCCAGCACGAAACAACCCAACACGAAACAACCCTGCGAAACAAGCCATCACGAAACAAACCAGCACCGAACACGACACAACCAACATGAAGCAACCAACACGAAACAACCCAACACGAAACAACCCAACACGAAACAACCAACACGAAACAACCCAGCACGAAACAACCCACACCACCGAAACAACCCAACACGAAACAACCCAGCACGAAACAACCCAGCACGAAACAACCCTGCACGAAACAACCCAACACGAAACAACCCAGCACGAAACAACCCAACAAACAACCCAGCACGAAACAACCCAGCACGAAACAACAACACGAAACAACCCAGCGACAAAACACGAAACAACCCAACACGAAACAACCCAACACGAAACAACCCAACACGAAACAACCCAGCACGAAACAACCCAACACGAAACAACCCAACACGAAACAACCCAGCACGAACAACCCAACACGAAACAACCACGACAACACGAAACAACCAACACGAAACAACCCAGCACGAAACAACCCAGCACGAAACAACCCAGCACGAAACAACCCAGCACGAAACAACCCAACACGAAACAACCCAGCACGAAACAACCCAACGAAACAACCATCACGAAACCCAACACGAAACAACCCAGCACGAAACAACCCAACACGAAACAACCCAGCACGAAACAACCCAACACGAAACAACCCAACACGAAACAACCCAGCACGAAACAACCCAACACGAAACAACCCAGCACAGAAACAACCCAGCACGAACAACCCAACACGAAACAACCAGCCAAAACGAAACAACCCAACACGAAACAACCCAGCACGAAACAACCCCACGACACAACCCAGCACAAACAACCCAACACGAAACAACCCAGCACGAAACAACCCAACACGAAACAACCAAACACGAAACAACCCAACACGAAACAACCCAGCACGAAACAACCCACCACGAAACAACCCAGCACGAAACAACCCAGCACGAAACAACCAACACGAAACAACCCAGCACGAAACAACCCAGCACGAAACAACCCAACACAAAACAACCCAGCACGAAACAACCCAACACGAAACAACCCAGCACGAAACAACCCAACACGAAACAACCCAACACGAAACAACCAGCACGAAACAATCCCAACGAAACAACCCAGCACAAAACAACCCAACACGACAACCCTGCACGAAACAACCCAACACGAAACAACCCAACACGAAACAACCCAACACGAAACAACCCAGCACGAAACAACCCAGCACGAAACAACCGAAACAACCCTGCAGAAACAACCGAGCACGAAACAACCCAACACGAAACAAGCCAACACGACACAACCCAACAGAAACAACCCAGAAACAACCCAACACGACACCCAGCACGAAACAACCCAACACGAAACAACCCAGCACGAAACAACCCAACACGAAACAACCCAGCACGACACAACCCAGCACGACACAACCCAGCACGACACAACCCAGCACGGCACAACCCAACACGAAACAACCCAACACGACACAACCCAGCACGAAACAAAGCGAAACAACCCAGCACGAAACAACCCAACACGAAACAACAACACGAAACAACCCAACACGAAACAACCCAACACGGAAACAACCCAACACGAAACAACCCAACACGAAACAACCAACACGAAACAACCCAGCACGAAACAACCCAGCACGAAACAACCCTGCACGAAACAACCCAACACGAAACAACCCAACACGAAACAACCCAACACGAAACAACCCAACACGAAACAACCCAACACGAAACAACCCAACACGAAACAACCCAGCACGAAACAACCCTGCACGAAACAACCCAGCACGAAACAACCAGCACGAAACAACCCAGCACGAAACAACCCAACACGAAACAACCCAACACGAAACAACCCAACGACACAACCCAACACGACACAACCGACACAACCCAGCACGACACAACCCAACACGAAACAACCTGCGAAACAACCCAACACGACACAACCCAACACGACACAACCCAACACGACACAACCCAACACGACACAAACCAGCACGACACAACCCAACACGACACAAACCAGCACGACACAACCCAACACGAAACAACCCAGCACGAAACAACCCAACACGAAACAACCCAACACAAAACAACCCAGCACGAAACAACCCAACACGAAACAACCCAGCACGAAACAACCCAGCACGAAACAACCCAACACAAAACAACCCAGCACGAAACAACCCAACACGAAACAACCCAGCACAAACAACCCAACAGAAACAACCCAGCACGAAACAACCCAACACGAAACAACCCAACACGAAACAACCCAGCACGAAACAACCCAACACGAAACAACCAAAACAACCCAGCACGAAACAACCCAACACGAAACAACAGCACGAAACAACCCAACACGAAACAACCCAGCACGAAACAACCCAACACGAAACAACCCAACACGAAACAACCCAGCACGAAACAACCCAACACGAAACAACCCAGCACGAAACAACCCAACACGAACAACCCGCAAGAAACAACCCAACACGACACAACCCAACACGAAACAACCCAACACGAAACAACCCAACACGAAACAACCCAGCACGAAACAACCCAACACGAAACAACCCAGCACGAAACAACCCAGCACGAAACAACCCAACACGAAACAAGCCACGACACAACCCAACACGAAACAACCCAACACGAAAAACAACCCAACACGACACAACCACAACCAACACGAACAACCCAGCACGAAACAACCCAACACGAAACAACCCAGCACGAAACAACCCAACACGAAACAACCCAACGAAAAACAACCCAACACGAAACAACCCAACACGAAACAACCCAACACGAAACAACCCAACACGAAACAACCCAACACGAAACAACCCAACACGAAACAACCCTGCCCGAAACAACCCAACACGAAACAACCCAACACGAAACAACCCAACACGAAACAACCCAACACGAAACAACCCAACACGAAACAACCCAACACGAAACAACCCAACACGAAACAACCCAGCACGAAACAACCCTGCACGAAACAACCCAGCACGAAACAACCCAGCACGAAACAACCCAGCACGAAACAACCCAACACGAAACAACGCAACACGAAACAACCCAACACGACACAACCCAACACGACACAACCCAACACGACACAACCCAGCACGACACAACCCAACACGAAACAACCCTGCACGAAACAACCCAACACGACACAACCCAACACGACACAACCCAACACGACACAACCCAACACGACACAAACCAGCACGACACAACCCAACACGAAACAAGCCATCACGACACAACCCAGCAAGAGAACAACCCAACACGACACAACCCAACACGAAACAACCCTGCACGAAACAACCCAGCCGAAACAACCCAACACGACACTACCCAACACGACACAACCCAACACGACACAACCCAACACGACACAACCCAACACGAAACAACCCTGCACGAAACAACCCAACACGACACAACCCAACACGACACAACCCAACACGACACAACCCAACACGACACAAACCAGCACGACACAACCCAACACGAAACAAGCCATCACGACACAACCCAGCACGAGAACAACCCAACACGACACAACCCAACATGAAGCAACAACACGACACAACCCAGCACGACACAACCCAACACGACACAAACCAGCACGACACAACCCAATATGAAGCAACCCAACACGACACAACCCAGCACGAGAACAACCCAACACGACACACAACACGAAACAACCCTGCAGAAACAACCCAACACGACACAACCAACACGACACAACCCAACACGACACAACAACACGACACAAACCAGCACGACACAACAACACGAAACAAGCCATCACGACCAACCCAGCACGAGAACAACCCAACACGACACAACCCAACAAAGCAACCAACACGACACAACCGCACGACACAACCCAACACGACACAAACCAGCACGACACAACCCAACATGAAGCAACAACACGACACAACCCAGCACGAGAACAACCCAACACGACACAACCCAACACGACACAAAACCAGCACGACACA